AGTTGTTTATCCACTATATATACTATCGTATACACGCGGACGCACACACGACGAAGCAGGCAGCAGCAGCAGCAACAGCGATCGGTATACGGTGTAGTGCCTTCAAGGCTTTCTCCGCGAGCTCTGGAATGCAGTCGGTCTCTCTTTTGCGCTCACGCGTTCATCGATCCTTTGCACTCTCGTGCGCGCGCCGTTGAAATTGCGCTGTATACGCACACGGACTCGCGCTCACCTTCCTTTTCTCGACTCGCGACTCTCGTCGCGGGTGCACGGCTCGTACTCTCTGCACTCGCTGATAGATAAGTCAACGCGTATCCGACCACTTTCTATACGTATACGTACAAGCGACTCCAGATGCAGCGCTGAATTCGTCGCTCAGAGATTTACGGAAGTAACGGTGGCTCTTCTACATTTCGATTCCTATAATTGATTCAAACTTACTGGGCGAGACGGCCAGCTTCTAAAACGAATGAAAAATTTGGCAGAATTCGCAGTGGAGCTCGGCGACCACAGTTCCGTCTGGCATGCATCGATGATCCGCAAGTTTATACAGCTAGCGTATACGCGGTATAATAAATCGGCTCAACGACACACATAAAGTTTTGCTCGCCAATGCAACTCGGCTCGGCTTTAAAACGAGCTATGCAATAATGTATACCTATACGTATCGCGTCGAGCTCCCAAGCGCGGCAAGCCGAGCGTAATTCAATTGCTTATGTCTTATTATTAAAAGCCCACACGCAGGCGCATTTTGTTATAAGCGATATCGTTTTCCTGTTTGCAGCGCGCGCCTGGCTGCCATATATATAACTATATATAATATATCCACGCACGTATACAAGCGTACGTCGTGCGCGTACTTAAATGACTCGAGAATATGTGTGTGTGTGTGTGTGTGTGTGCGTGCGCGAGATAGATTTGCAGCATTACACTCGCATGATTTACGTTTAACATGTAGAATTCATTCCACGCGAGGTGGAATTCAATATTTTGCGCGGGCCGCCGTTTATCCGTATATACATATTCTCGCGGGTGGCGATCGGGGCCGTGTTTAGCATTTAGGGCTAATAGCTCATTTAGAATTACGTGCTTGCAAGTGCATTTTGTAACTAAATATTATATATGTACACGATATGGCTCGTTCAACACAAATGAGTGTGTGTGCGTGTGCGTGTGTGAGCGCGCGCGGCTAGAAGCTAGCCCGCACTTGGAAATTAATTCATGTGTCGTTTACGAACGGTACCGCTACATTACGCGCGTTCGAAATCAAAATTACCTGCCAATATTCAATCACAGAATCTTTAATGTAGAACAGCAGCTCGTCGACGTTGTAAAGGATATACAATATATATAATACGCGCGAATTAATTTCACGTTCGACGCTCGAATCAAGTTTAAAGCCATTTCGCAGTCGCGGCGCGGCGGGAGAAATGCAGCGCATGTATGTGCACGCTGCTCCTGTCTGTGGAATTTTTCATGCATCGTCATGAGAAAGAAAGCCGTGTGGCGGTGGCGGCAGCGGCGCATGTATTTTCCCTGAAGATATAACATTTATTCAGGCTTTATTCGCCTGAAAAATCTCTTCTCTTCTCTCTTTCGCGAACCATAACATATTTACCGTTCGACAAATGACACCTTGCCGCGCGCGCTCATCGTAAAAAAGAAACAAATAACGAATGTAGACGCGAGCGCATACATTCGATCAGTTATAACGGTTCAACAACCTTGGGAACGTATTCGTTACACATACGTACGCATATATATACCTACCCGCGCTATAACACAAGCTATGCACTGCAGGCCGAGCTGTGTAAAGGCGCGGCACAGCGGAGCGACCAAGAGGCATGTTTTTCGCGGTATGTATTATTGTAAAGGAGAGAAACGAACAAAACCGGACCGAAAATTGTGGCGGCGGCGCGCGCTCAAGCCGGGATAAGGATCGCGGCGAAGAAGAGAGCGAGAGAAGAAAGGATCGCCCTCGAAACTGAGGGCCCTCTTGGAAAGTTTATATCGTTCTCGCTCGATCGTACCTACCACACAGGTGCACTTATCACTGCGCATGTACTATACATAACGTGTATATGCTTGGCAGGCATCGTCGTGGTATAGAGACACGCGCTGCTCTGAGCGAGCTCACTCGTACTCGGCCGTTGCGCAATGATTAACACGTGTGCAGCGTATTTTTTAGCATATAACACCGGCTATATACACGCTCGAATGCATGTACCTGTATATATACACGATATGAGTTGTGTGAAAAAAGGAGCGCGAACGTACACTGCATATGTATGTATGCACATTCGAGTGACTTTGATCTGGCAGTTCTCGTTATTAAAGGCGCTGCTGCGCGAACGCGAGAGAGGAAAATAAGAGAGAGAGAGACGAAAATCGTTTTGTAAAATTACTCAGACTGCATCCATGCGAGTGTGTATGCAGCAAGAGCAGCAGCAGCAGCAGCTCGGCAAGAGGCGCGTTAAACATCGCGCTCAATTGATCCTTCGAGAGGAACTTTACACTGCGCGCATATAATACGTGCAGTGCACATGTGTATGCACTTGCCCAAGAGCGAAGGAAGCCCACGAGTATAAGTACTCGTAAATTCGAGGATTTATTTTCTGTATTACCAACAAGCAGCTCTCGAGCGATCTGCGTGTGTGTGTGTATGCACACATAAGCCGCGCAGATAAGACGAAAACTATTTTTCCTGACTGGCCTATAGTGCTTTCGTCGATTATAAATATACTATATGTGAGCGGCGAGGTGCTTCGAGTCTCTTTCGCAAGCTTCTTTTTCTAAGCGGATATCTACAGATGTCGATTATATCATATGCAAAGAATTTGTAAAATAAAATAATAATAAAACCGCAGACCAAGTTTTGTGTGCCTCACCCGATGCTCAGCAATCGTTAAGCTAAATTGAATCGCTTCCCTATGAGTCTTCCTATGAGTTTCAACCACTCGAACATTTTTTTTTTATATTAAATGAAATAAATATGCATAAGTTTTATGAGCGTACTAGACGGAGTATAGCACAGGCGATCGATTGAATTGCAAACGACGACAGCCGCGGACGATGACTTGAGTCCCTATGTACAGTATAAATACTATACAGGTACTGCATCTATAGGTGTATGCACGACGAGGCAGCTGCAACGGCATCGAAGTCACCGCGACGACGTGTCGGGCATACGTTTATAATATCCGCGCTCATAATATGTGCTTGCCCACTCGAGCTCGCACGTACCTATATACACATAGTCGCCTACAACGTATCACCTTAAAAAGTCATATCGGCACGCGGCTGCCGTGCACACTCACACACGAGTATAATTTATACACACATAGACACGTCGATCGTCGTTAAATGTATACGTATACGCATGAGCGCGAATGCAAAACAGAAGACAAAGGACGTTTCGCAAGCCGAAAGGGCTCCCGAAGGCAGATATACAATGCCATGCATACACATATACAGTATGAATGTACGAGGGAGCGGATTTACGTTTTCCTTTTATAAGTCGCCATTTATCGAGTTTCTCATGAAGTCGAGCTTATGTTTCTTTTTTCTTTCTAATCTACTTAGGCTTCAATTTTTTTTCACCGTCATTTTATGGAATCGAAGCCGAGCAAGTGGAGCAATCGGAAGATCGGTAATTACTCCGCTCCGTGTGTCCACGTGGAAATCTTATTACCGATCAGCGACGATCCTATCGCGAATTTATTCTTGCGGACAGCGGCACAGTTGGACTATTTTTGTATCAACGCGAATTCCATTGATTATGCTAATTAATACATATATACCAATATCGATCGTTTGGAATTTCTTCTCGTCGAGCGAGTTTCGTGCGCGCCTCGGTGATTTCTTAATCTCGCCGTACGTAAGCGTAGGATTTAAAGATAAAAAATTGAAACTTGTCTATCGGCATTGTACACGTCTTGTTGTTGAGAATACGTTTTCTCCGACACCTGTACATTTTATTACAGAATCTTTGCGATTCAAAACATGACCCGACTACTCGACTTTTTTCTGTTGACGCTTGATCAATGTGTAATATGAAAAAAAATCGAACTTTCATTCGTGGTACGGTGTATCATCAAACGCCGAACTTTTCGCAAATTAGTCACTCGCATTATCAGCTCCAGCAACGGTGGTGGCGACGACGGCGCTTGGCTCGCGAGAAAGCAAAAGCGACTATAACGGTACCATCCTTGGAAACAATCTCGGCGCTTGATGCTTTTATGCGGCAGCTGCTCTCCGATATATGCGCGATGCGCTGCGCCATATAGGACATCGGGCGCGCGAGAGGAGGTAAAAGAAGAGAAAAAAATGAGAAAAAAAGGAAAAAAGGCTGGTATTATACGCGAACCGGCGAATAATAACGACATCGTCGAGCGAAAAGTTGCAGTGCTATGTATATGCAGCTGCCAAGCTGCTACGGGTAATAAATTTTATCTCGTTCTCTCGCACACCGAGTGCGCATAAACACATCTCTCTCGGTCTCGATCACTCTCTTTCTCTGTGTTCGGTCAGAAATTACAAGTTGGCCGAAAAATCGGAGCACGCAGAGTCTGCCGCCGTATAAGTGTGCATATACGTATCGGTTATACCCCACCAAAAAGAGGACTAGCCGTGTCGAAAAGAAAACCAGTCTCATCTTTGGAGGAATCTCTTCGGGGACCGGAGTACGAAGTAGTATATATATTGGTATCGAGACAGCGCACAGGTATGCGTGCATGTGCACATACGAGCCTCGGAGCGAAATACACGAGAGAGAGAGGAGAGAGAGAGAGTGAGGAGTGAAGGTGCTATAGGCCGATATATACGCGTCGCGCCGTGTGTGCTGCAGCAACGTTCGGCGTATACATGCTACAAGTAGTGTATATAGGAGCTGTGCGAGGTGTGCAGGTGGGGACCGACGCCGCCGACGACGACGACGACGAGCTCTGAGGTAAGCCAGTTCGGTTTCGCTGTAAGCTGCCTCAGTAAGCGGCCGATCTCCATCTCGTTTATAGGCAGCGGACCGAGTCGATCGCAATATTATATATATACGTGTATAGAGACACGCGGCTCGGCGCGAGCGCTCCATGTACACTACCTTCTCTTTCCTGTGAGGCCCGTCAAGCGCGGCGTTGCTGCATTACTCACACACACACACACACAATACCGAACGCGCACACATATAGACACGGAGATCTGCATCTGTGTATATATACCTTGCCTGTGCAGTGTAGGAGCCCGGGACCTTTTCGCTCTCGACGAGTGCGCGTACTTGGTGTGTCCGTGTGCTGCTATACTACTGTGCGAGTGAGTGCGAGCTACCAAAATGGCGGCAATTTACTCCTACTACGATCCCTTGTACTATTGTTATCGCCGTCTGCACTACGCCGGATGCTGAGAAAGACTCTCACTGCTCACCGCAGTGATAACAATTTTCGTCCTCGTTTGTTCGTCGTCGTCGTCGTTGTTGTTGTTACTTGTTTGTTGTATAATATATCGATGTAATATATCTAGTGCTCGCGTGCGAGGTGAGATATACCATTGGAAGCTCTGCAATTAAATCGTTATATGAATCGAGCTGTGCGAGTGCGTGTGACAATCCAAAAAACAAGCGGAATATAAAGCCTCTGTTGTTCGTGTGCCATTATCACATAAAAAAAACGACGAGCCTGCTCGATCAACGAGCAAAGGAAAAAAGAAGAAGAAAAATCGGCTCTCGAGCTCTCGTCTGCAACGCGAGTGCATCCAGCGATTCGTCGTCGTACGCAGAGTGTGAAGATCGTCTCGTATTATATATGCGTATACGCGAGTGTATGTGTACATGTGTGCGGCTGAGTTAATGCATCGCTGAACACACCTCAAAAAGGGTGAGTTGAAAAAAAACCTCGGCCTTTCTGCGCTGGTCGTTGCTTTTACGTATAACATTTACCTCGTATTATATGTATACCTATGCCGCGTTCTTCGCGATCACTACAGCGAGCACATGTATGATATTTTTATTCGAAAACGAGCTCGCATATTACTATGGGTACGCGTACAATATATTATATGTACAGATTTAGCGATCATCGAGCCGCGCATGCCATGCAAGCCTGGCTTTACAACGAGAGCTTTTTACAATTTCGCGGAGAAGATGCGCACACACGCGTGATTTTTCGTTGCTCGCATCCGATGTACATATAAATATAAACGCACATACACACGTGCGTAGCTAACTTTCTGTAAATAAATGTGCGTTGTATAATGCGAACAACACACCGCCGTGAGCGCGAGGAGGGCAAAAAATTGAATGCTGCAGCAGGCATCGGATCGCGCAAGAGTCGAGTCCGGTACACATACGAATCGTACTTGGCACGTGCGTTCGATCCAATGAAATTATAAACTATAATATGCGTCATTTGTCGTTGTGCTAAACATTGTTTAGTAGAATTAATACATGAAGCAGGAACTCCGATTTGCGTCTTCGCAGCGATATACGCAAAAGAGAGAATCCGGCGAGCTGGCCGCAGCGCGTCGTCCTTGGACTCCGGCTCGAGGATATATATCTCGCCGAGGTATATACGTATACGTAACGTGACTTACGGATAGAGCCGCATAATATAATGCGTTATGTATGGGTGTGTGCGTAGAGACTCACGCACACACGGAACTGCGAGGCCTTTGGCATCCTTGGCATCTCTGCACATGCACGCGTGCATATAGTCTCCAACGCAAACCCACTCACAGCGCGCACACACACTCCAACACGCACCCATAGAGCGGAAGATACAGCGGCTGTTCGGGCATAATCTCCTTCTTTCTCTCTTTTTTTCTCTCTCTCTCTCCCTCGGCGTTGCGCGCATTCCTTTGAGCCCCAACCTAGCTCCAGGCGCAGATACATATATAGAGAGAGCTGCAGCGAGAGCGAGAAACGAGAGATACAGGCCTAGGCTGCGAGTAATATGCATACCTTCGCGGTTTGTCCGCTCAGCCAGCTTGCCGTGTACGTATAATGTACGCGCGATCGTATAATAGTGCGAATATATAGACAGCGATTTTGCGAGCTGCTTCGAGCAAGCTCATACACACGCGTTCTATAATGCGGCGGATGCACAGCCGATTTTCATTTCGAATCGGTATACTTAACAATCGCGAGTTCCATTACAGCTGCAGCACGTGTATAGCCATGTTGCGGGCGATCGGCCTCGCTGTTACTATACGTTACATCGAAAAGGAGCCTAATAATGAGATACGTATTCTCCATCGATTCTTGCCGTATTACCGGAAGAAAATGCGCTTCTGACGCGTACACATGTAACGTTTTTCGCATAATCGTGCGAATATATACGTACGCGCGGGTCCCGTATGCACGAGGGACTCGTCGCGAGACTCGAGTCATTCGCATGCGGCCTGTACCGGTGTGCGCTACGTTATACATGTGTGCGAGTATGCGAAAAAAAGAAAGCTTTGTATATTTATCCATAATATGCCATCCTTGACAAGGTGCATTCTCTTTTGCGCTTGCTCGCGCGCTCATAATGCAGGAAGAAATTTTCCTCGTGTATTTACCGCTGCAGCAGCAGCAACAGCGTAGATGCGCACAGCAGGTATATTTACTTCCTGCTTCCATTGCAGACGCGCAAAAGCAGCTCGTGTATAGATCTCATTTAATCATACGACGACGACGACGACGACGACGTCGACGCCGCTGTGCGCGCACGAGGCACAAACAGCATATAATCTCTCTTCGCGGCGAAAGAGTCTGTAGCTATACACATCTATATACATTTATGGACAAAAGCTCTTCCTCGTCGCAGAAATTAATGCTTTCGCGCGCGAGCGCACCCCCTCTCGAAAGCCATGTCATTTTTCCTTTCGTGCGCACTGCATGCGGTGTCGAGTGACCTTTCAATTTTCGGCTCCGAATAATATGCTGCTCCTCGCCTCTATATACACATTCGTCTCGATATGAGCGCGTAATTAATTTTACGGTACTTGATATACGCACGGTACGCGATCGCGTTGCAGGTCACTCGGATAATTGCCCGCGCGTACACATACACACGCACAGACACACATATAATGTACAATTTCCGGCGTTCTCCTTTTTTTTCTCTTCTTCTTTCGAGTGACTCCGTGGCGTCGTGTAAATTTATTACAATATTTATATACACGCGTGCGGCATCGTGTGTGTATATAATAGCTGGACTCTCGACTTGGTGTGTAGCATAACAGTAAAGTTTTTTCTCCCCACTTGTTTTCATTGCGCGGCTAAATGATGTACCACCTGTAAAGTATGCATATATATTGAAGTCTATAATTTATGCATTATATGAAAAGGAAAACAAATAAAGATAGAATTAAAAGCTGCGCCAAGTATTGATCGATATACTCGAGCGATACATGAAAGTAGTTGATGTAGGTGAAACAGTTCATTGACATCTCGCTCGAGCCACCTATTCTCAACAAACGTTATATCGTCCGGCACTCGACTCGCGGTCAATATAATAAACCTAAATCTATCAAGCGTTATTATAACGTCGAGTTGCAGGCAGATTGACATAAATATTGATCTCTCTCTCGCGAGGAATGAATAATTGCATTTGCGCACAATCGCAATTATCCCTCTCTCTCTTTCGTATGTTGCTGCTTTGAGCTCTCGCGCAACGCAAATATTTCGATGTAATTTTATTGCCTTTTCTCTCTTTCTCTCGTCCACGTCTCTCTTTTTCTCTCTTTCCCTTTTCTTATACATCGAAGCAGCGCCGCGTGCAAAATAATATCTCGCAACAATTTTAATGCGAAAATTCTGTAACAACGTTATCGCTCTATTGATTTGATATTTCATGGGCCACGCTGTGCACGGTCTCTTTCTCTTCCTTCTTCTCGTAGCTATCGTAATCATCGTCGTCGCGTTCCATTATTTTTCGAATATGAAAACCTTCGACGGAGCGCGATGAATTCCAGCGCGCAAGGTATACGCTTTTACGCGCGCATAGACGGCATAATTTCTCTTCCCTGATAATTTTTCAACAAAATAGAAGGAAAAATAAAGGAAAAAACACGCTCGAGTTTAATGTTCTAATATAGCGGGACGAATATAATATTAATATCGGGTGCGGTGCATTATAAACCCAGCGACAATGTAAATTTCTCAATCAGTCTTGAACCTTAATGCACTTTTAATGACTGAAAATATCAGCTATTGCTCGGAACAATAATTCAGATTGTAATTACGCCCAGGCGGAGGAGTATTAGGAAACTTTTCAATTTTCGCGTTACCGGTGTATATGCACTCGTCGCGGAGGAATAAGAAAAGAAATTCATTTCTTTCTCGTAGCTCGAGCTTTGCTGCTCGCGTTTTAACTAATGCAGCGATACAATGGTGTTCTCTCTCTCTCTCTCTCTCTCTTTCTGCAGCAGCGAAAGAAATGTACCGCGCAGCTACTTCGGGAATCAAAGTTACGTCAGTTCGAACCTGCACCTTCTCGCGATCTCCCTCGCACACTGCCTGGTGCCTCGTGTTTGCAATGCACACAAACACACTTACACACATGTATACAGAGCTAACACAGGGTTGTCTTATATACCGCATGCATATGACAGCGAAGCCGAAATATACATCTCGATCGTAGGTATATATGATAGAGTTCACGGCAGCGAAACCTCCTGGAATTACGTCACTGCAAAACTTATAACACGTCATATATATATCGACAAAAGTAAACATTTCCAGAGGGAGATCTGCGCGCGCGAGAAACTGGCTCCACGAAACTCTCGATCGAGCGCAGCAAAGAGAAAGAGAGTGAACTATTTTTTTTTTATAATTATCGAATCGTGATTGATTGCCTCTCAAGATCTGATATAAATAAGCCGATTCTCTTGCGCTCTATTTTGTGCTCCTTTTGAGTGATTATATTTATTTTCCCAGAGAGCGAATTTATCATTTAATTAGACAGATATTTCAAAATATAGCTCGTATGGAAATTACGCCGAGATACATATAATGTAACTGCTAGACATTTTCCACTCGTTACTTCCGTCATTATCTCGTAATTCGAAAGCGATTCGTTTCAATCTTTTTTCCTATATACTTTTAATCCCGAGATGAAAATAAACAAGCCTTTTCAATTTTGCAGGCCTCAACCGAAGGAACGAATCTTGCCGGTCTCCATGATTCGAGGGGAAGCCAGCAAGTTCGTAGCAGTAGTAGTAGAAGAAGAAGAAGCAAGGGAGAAACAGAGGAAAAAGCTGCACGCGTGAGTCGGCGACTACATCGCCGCTGAGTGAGCGAGAAAGAAGGAAAGAACGGGGCAAAAAACAATCATGGATAAACAAGCGGTGACGATGCTGCTATTACTGTCGCTTTTGGCTTTCGCGACACACTTGAGCGAGGCTCACGTGGCGCTCACGTTCCCACGTGCTCGTACTTATGATCTCGATTTTCTCGATAGCGCCAGGACTCCGGGCCCCTGTGGAATGCCAAAAGGTCAGTACATAATTCACATCTATGTTGTATATGTGCACACTCGCACGTGTTGCACCCTGTTGCTGTTTACTTAATTTACAGCATAGATATTGTGACTGAGTATAATAAGCCGAGTGAGAGGTGCCAATGTGCCAGTCCAATAACGTATATACTGCGCGGCAATGATAATAATGATATTAATATAATGTAGCTTGCACAAGCTCGTAAATCTCGTACGTATATAATATGCGCGAGATCTCGATGTATACGTGATTACTGCGCTGCCGATTCGCCGGTGCAATATACCAACGCGCCGTAATCGTCGCGACCTTCGATCGGAATTATTTTTCGATTGCTCGAGAAATGATCGCGAGGCTCATCGTAATGTCGATATCTATATAGATATAATAACCTGCTGGGACGAAACGAGGTTGAAATAATGTTCGGGATACACTTTATGCACAAGTGGAAAAACTCGAGCTGCACTTTTTTCCCTCTATTTTGTGTGTGTAATAAATGCACGCGTTAGTCGCGCGCCAACCTTGAAACGGATGTGCACCAAGCGCAATGAAGCAATTTCATGGATCATCGTCATATACATAATAAAAAAAAGGAAAAAATAATCACTTCGTAAAATGATTTTTACCTTTGCACGTCGGCTTTATCCACGTCACTACACTAGTACGTATACAAACGAACGAGGCGCCTGTATATTATATGTATGTATAGGATTACGCACGACGAGAAATAACCGTAAGTCATATCGTGCATAGATTTTATCGACGATACATTCGTTATCAGGTCGTGCATAAAACGCAATTACCCGTATAACGCAGCACAGAATAATTATACTAATTACTGTCCAACGATATGGCACTTGAGAGATTTTCTCTCGCCTGGACGAGTGTGGCTCTTAACGATGCACCATTGATGGCGCAATTATTGATAATATCGACGTGCGGTGATATTTTGCAATTGGAAAATTTATGAAAACTCTATCTATACCGCGGCATGGATTTATTGTGAATAGAGAACGCGTCGTGGATCGATATGTAATATGCGCAGGACACGATTTCAAACTACCAATGGATGTATACTTTACAGACTCAACCACATAATATACATCAACGCTGAATTCAAAACCTGCCGATTCGACCTTTGAATAATGCAAAATCGATGGCTCTTGATCTTGCGTGCGCGTTATGATCGAAGGGCATCGCAGGTGCATCAGTGTGCAGGCATTTACCGCATGCGTATGTGTGTTGCAGTGGCTGCACACACTTGCACTCCAACCAGTGAAAGTACACAAGATCGTTACATACATAATGTTATAAAAGTTGCACAAAGTCTGCAGCGTCTGAGCATGGTGCAGCAGCGGCTGCACATGATACAAAGAAAAGAAAAAACAATTATGCGGCTCGTGGACTCGTTCGGTCGCGCGTAACTTCCGCTCGCTTACAAGTGTGTGTGTGTGTGTGTGTGTGTATACGCCACGCAGGAACTCGTCGTGTGCGGTATATGTGCACGCTTCAAGCGAGTATATGGTCTAATTAATCGGCCGAGCTTTGGTTCTGATTAATATAGTAATTATATTTCGTGATTAATTAATTATTAAAGAAGACTGTATAGAGTCAAAGATCGTAATATGCAGTCGAGGTGTCAGAACAATACGTTATTATAACACGTTCTAGTGTGTGTGTGTGTACACTGTATACATGTAATAAAGACATTACTTCGGACGATGAATAGGAGCAAAAAAAGGAGGGAGAAGGCGAGCTAGAAAGTCTCTTATTACGGATGAAAACTCGAACGCTAGTTGGAAGGCTTGTGTTGCACGCGGCCTGAACAGAGAAACATCGCACAAGTTCACACGTTACACTCGTTTTGAAATGTAAATACATACTATATTACGCTCGTTGCGTAAGAGCCCGCGAATCCGCGCGATTCGGTTGAAAAGGGAGAGAAAAAAATCAGACGCTTCCAGCGTGTCGCGCGCGCGATTTCGGAAAACAATCGTCGCGAAAAATCCCAATGCCCGTAGGCTTTGTAAGGTCGTTGAATCGAGCTTTCGAAGAAAAATAAACATTAGCAGCGTGTAATAAGGTAAAAGAAGCAAAGATTTTGCCGCGACAGCGCGAAAACTTTCACCGTCGTCGCGAGTCTGTATATAACGACATTTGCACCGGCGGCCACTCGAGATCGGCGTGTATATTTTCTTTTACTTCCTATACATACACAGACACTTACACACACACACATACACACACACAGACTCTTTTGTAGTAAGCTGTACTATCGCTCGATGCTGCACACGCCGTTGGGCTAATTTATAGGAAACTTGATGCACTCGGCGCTGCTGCTTGTATCGTGCGCTCGTGACGATGCAGGTGCATCTTTGCCTGCGCGCGTTAATTCATTTTCGAATGTTGACGCTTCGCTTTGTGCCAAGCCCGCGAGCTTATGTTTATATAGCATAGTACAAGCATTATAATGCTAAATATACATATAGATGTAACATTTATACATCCGCGCGCGCCTTCGTCAACGATTTGTTTGCACGTCGCAGAGATGCGGCACGAGAGCTAATGTACATATTACAAACCTTTTACATGTTGGCGATTAGCGTAGCTAGCTGCACAAGCGCCGAACGTTTGAGCGAAACGAGCAAAAACAAAGGAAGAAAATAAAAAGGAAAGAAAAAATGTGCCTGCAGGTGAATGCGTATATAGCATGTATGCAATGTAAATGAATGAGGGATAATAATACGTACGAATATGAATGTGCATGTATATGTCCTATATATGCATATTATGCACGCACGCAAAAAATGTTCGCAATCCGCAAGAGATACTGCGAGTCAAAGTTCTCGATTTATCTATGGAGCAGCAGCATAATATGTGCGTTGAAGCATATGCGGCGCGCGATCCACCTCACGGCGCGCGCGATTATAAACAATGATTCCTTTTTATTTTTCGTTCTTGCCGTGCATATAACCTTACCTCTTTGCCATCGTCGCGGGGCTAATGCACGCGATACATATAGGTACATGCACTCATACACACACACACACACACACACACACACACACACACACACACACACACACACGCACACACACACACACAAACAGATATAGGTAGAAAGCGTCGCATTGTAATGCTACGTTCACCTATGCGCCAGTGAACTGCGCTATTATATTGTGCACATAGGTATAAGGTATACGCGCGCACGTATATCGTCGAGTGGCAGATCGTGCACAGTTACATGGCGCTGGTACATACCGTGTACGGATTCCCCCCATCTACCTTTCGAGTGTTTGAAAAAACATCTTGAATAGAATTTGTTCGTTGACACTTTGGGATGCGGCAAACGCCGATGCATCCACACTGCGACGCCACGACCTGTAACTGCATCCGAGCGCATAAGTTACAGCGTGTCAACGCCGCTTCGCGTATAGCAACGTATATATACCTATACAATATTATACATTCGTCAATTTTTTCCGCTTTCAGCCACGAGAAAAAGCTCTAGCGAGCTTCGGCCGAGAGATGTGTAGCTGGGTTATACGAGTCGGAGTGCGTTATATATAATATGAGAAAATACGATTGAGGAACCGCGCGTATACTTTTGCGAAAATATAAAAATTTATATAACTGGGTGGGCGCTCGCGCGACTGTATACGCGACTGGCAATATGATACGTTGCGGCGCAAACGAACTCGGCTGGATTTTGCCTGGCATTTATTCTCTTTTAATTAACGCTCGGTACGTCATTACACGACTGGTTGCCTCGTGTATATACAGCGAGCAGCTCCCGGCAGGCTGCACGGATCTATATACTTTATACGCGCGTGTACGTATAGCCATGCTCACGTACGAACGATAATTAACGAACCCCTGCGCACATCGCTCGTCCATCGGCCAAGGCAAGGGAAGCCACGTCAAAATGTGTCAAACGATAGACTCTCGCGAGTTGCATATTATATGTGTATATAAATCGAATGATTCCTCTCGCGTAACACGGCTGTATAGCTGTGCAGCAGCAGCAGCAGATTATATACCGCGCGTTCGCGTAGCATAGAAATTTGACAGTTTGACGTTGCGTGCGCGTTGCATTAGATTTACGATTATTGTTTTACAATGGCCTTGTATTGATAATACCGATCGTATTATGGCGGCTAGCTTGTCTTGTTATACGAAGTAGATGAGCCAATCATCGTTCGGCCGTATATGCAGTCGCTTATATAGTGCTGCTGCTGCTACTGTTGCTGGCGCATGTAAATTCAACGATTTTTCTTCGTTGATTGGATCATGTGTATGGATATTAGTGTAGCCGAAGAAGGCGATGATGATTTTAGGCCAAAAATGCACGACCTCGAACGAAAGCGAATTACAGCTGGAAAATAAAGTTAAAACTCAGCCTACAACCCATCCAACAATTAAATAATAACCATATAAGTGCATAATACAATGCAAAGTCGTGTTCTTCGAAAAAGACCTTGACCATAGGCCTGTATACCTCGAGCAAAACGCAAACAATCGCAATTGCTCGCACGCGAAAAAAGAGGCAGAGAGAGAGAGAGAGAGAGAGGAAAAAAGAGCAAAAGTATAAGAAGCTCGCCTTGCCGATGCTATGTATATATAAACGCATGCATGCAGGATAATACCTACAACGGCGCGCAACGAACACAATAAAGCTCGAGAGCGTCGCGCACGCATACACACACATGCATATACGCGGCTATGTATGCAGAGACGCGCACCGCGACTGACAAAGTTTAACGTACTCTCGCCCTCGAGTGTTTTCTCTCTCGCTCTATCTCTCCCAAGAGAAATATTTCGAGAGCTTGTGTACCGGAGCTCGCACCTACACACTCGCTCATGAACAGAAATAAAATAAAAGGCATGAGTGCGTTGTATCAGTGCGCTTTGAGCCGTGCGCGCGCTGATTCACCAAACCTAGTTCGAGCACGCACTTAATGTTCGTGTGCAAGTGTGTAGTCCGCTGATCAAAGAATTACTTGAAATCGTGCCACGCAGAGCTTTGTTATTTTTAAAAATTTATCCTTGAAAAATTCCAATGTACAACGCACAAAAACCATGCCAACGATTTAATACGGAGTTGAAAATAAACCGAATGAATTAAATGATAAAAAAAGAAGCAAAAACCAGGATAGAAACAACAAATACAGCAAAAAACTAATTAGTTGCGTTATAAAACTATTCTAGCGGCATGCACTGCACTGCACAGTGCACATTCACGTAATCCTCCAACTTGTATGTATACCGGTAATTATTACGCGCTGCCGTGTTATATGTTGTAATCATACGAGTGTGTGTGTGCGTATACGCGCGAGGATAATCATGTAGAGTAAGAAAATTTTCTTTTCTTCAACTTTCACGTCGCATATAATAAAAATAAAATTTCCGCGTATAAGCATGAAACGTTGGAAAAAAATACCCACGCGCCGCCGTAGCTCCAGCGGCGTATATTATTGAAGAATAATACGCGTTTAAACGAGCGCGCGAGTTGCACATGGCATGAGGTATAAGTACTTTTGGGCCGTAAATAAGGATATATATAAATTACGGTACAGTCATCCCGGGAAAGACATGAAAAATTCGCCACGCAGTATTCGCGGGATTGTCATTAAGCCGTAGCTCCGAGAGCGAGAAAATATTTACAATCATGCGGGCCGATTGAGACAAGCAATTAGATTTTTATGCGGGCGAAAAGCCATTTTCCGATATATATAAATGTCGTGTTAGCCGTAAAAGTGACCGGTACTTACATCCACGCAATTCGCAGACACATATACGCGCGCGAATACACACATTCACATGGCTAGTTTGCACGATCCGAAACCGCGAGGATTTCACCGAGAGCCCATTGGCATTATAATAAGTTTGCTAAGCGAAGCTAACGTGTTACATCACTGACGCATAGTGTATACACAATGTCAGCTAGTATTGGGAGGGAGAAAAAACAATTTTTTTTTTAACATTCGCGCACGAAAAGAAAAGAAGCCCCGTTGAAGTGTTGCTGCCGGTGGCTGCATACATCCAAGTAATTTTCAAGTCAGCCAAAGGTGAAGCATATCAGATGGGTAGCGTATATCGCGTGCATCATCTAAGAACACAGACACACACACATACACACAAAGTTATGCATTAGCTTCTTTACAAAGTGCAGAAAGTGGAAAGGAGCCGACTCTGCCGCGGCTGCTGTTACCGACTTGGCGCTATACGAGCTAACTCAACGGAACGAAGCCTCGTATGTCCTGGCACAACTTCCGGAGTCGAAATAAAAAGGAAGTCCAGTGATACTAACGCACCACGCACGATGCGTATTATATATACGTACGCGGTGCCCTATTTCAGGTTGCACAGCCACTTGTCTTCTTTCGAAGAATCTCGAATGATATCGTCAATAAATAAAGTTCGAGCGAGTTACGAGCTATTAAATAAAAAGGATAAATATCGTGCACTGCACAGCGCGTCGTAGCTGAGTATCGATCTTGACTCGCTGTGCGTCTTGATTTTCTTTGAAGATATCCTTCGCTTGGCAACAATGAGCTCTCCACGTTGTATGCATGCACACGAGTATGTATACATAGGAGTCGAGCGTGAAAATGAAAAAAAAAAATCAAGAGCTGCTCCAAGGCTGTGCGTGGGCCCTCGTGTCTCGTGCGCGGCTTAATGTACGCGTGATTATTGTTATTACACGAACGACCGCCCACCACTGCGGAATATTTAATGTTTATCCGTAAAATAATTATTAATACGGGTGTACGTACGTAGAACCGATCGCGGTGCATTTTCAAGTAGATGAGAAAAATGAAGATCCAGGGCGTGCTCGAGGGGTCTTTTCGTGCATATAATATATAACGCACGAGTTCTTCTTCAATTACCGCGTGTACATACGCACATACATGCATGCTCGCGTAAATATCGCTTCACGGCGGCGATGATTTTTCAAAGCTGCGGCTGCTGCTGCTGCTGAATTGTTACCTTGTGCTCTGCGCGCGGCTCGATGCAGACACACACACACGCACGCGTGAGTCATCCTCGCATATTCCTTCCTCGACGCGGATACGTATAATATAATACAATATGACTCGTCGTCGAATAAAGCACGTATTATATAGCCGCCAGATACGCGAGTGCGATATCGCTCGATGCGAGTTTTACTCGTGGCTTATTTTTTCTTCTTCTTTCGAAAAAAAAATAAGCTATTCGCTGAGAGATGCTGCGCGAAACGACCAAAAAAAAAGAGAGAGTTGTAACTGTTGCGCCGCGACAATGGGAAATTATATTCGTTGCGCTAAACCGGATGGGTAATGAGAAAATTGACAGAACTGCAGTCGCCGTGGCTTCGATGAAAAGCAATCTAGGCTAATAAAAAACTCGTTTCCGCAGCCGCTCGCGCGTTCGTATGTGTATTGCGCGAGCATTGCTTTAATTACGATCTTTGCTTTTCTCGCGCGCTCGCCACATTCACTTTTATTCTTACCCAACCGTGTAAATCACGGCACTTTTAGAAATACATCGAGACGCGACGATACGGCCAATATCTCTTGGCAATTTTTTTCTCTTTCGCCTTCTCGTAAAAGATGAAACTATTTATGCTTCCGCGTATGCTAGACCAATTGGCTTCCAAAAAAATAACCGTTTACATACAAGCGCGTGAGAATCGGCGGATTACACGAAAAAAAAGAAACAGTAAAAATAAAAGGTTGAAAAAGTAGATCGAAGAAACTTTTCGCCGAAATCGCGATATCGTATCGAGTTTTTCATCGATCGAACAAATCGCACGTACAAGACACACACACGGGGAGCAGCGGAAATAAGTTGCAATAGAATTGTAAGGCGTGCCCGAGCAGTACCGACGTGCGGTTAGCGAATTAATAATGCTTCTCACTTACATATAGTCTACTGTCACGCTGACTGTCATTATTATTTCGGACGCGAAGTGTTTTTTTTTGCACGTGGATACGTTTCTCCATATGAGTACGTGTAGACGCAAAAATTAAAGACACTGAGCGAGCGAATGATAAATCTGATTTGTCTTCCCATACGTTCTTTTCTTTCTATTATTATTATTATTATTATATTTTCTTTCTTTGACCATTGATAAAAGAACTAAAAATTTCAAGTTGTAAGCTAGCACATAATTGAATTTGATAAATGTTCTTCTTTTTACCTATTACAGGTGACATCAAGACTACTCTGCTGGCTGGCAGTAGTTTCAACATTACTTGGCATCTCGCCTATCCACATAAGGTGAGTACACGAAAAATATTCAATTTTTGTCCAATTTACCTAACAAAGTTACATAAAACTCCAGTTTTCGCACGCGGACTATGGAGCGAGAAATGAGGCAAAGAGAGAAATAGAGAGAAAGAAAAATAGCGCTTGACGCGCTTCGATCAATTATCCAATTTTGCATGCAAGGTCCCTTCTCAAAACAATCGAGCACACCGCGCGCACGCCATATTATTATTTACTTTAACAAGCTCTTATTTCGACTTTTGCCGGGTGAATGTAATGGATGGTCTGCAATAAGATAAAGAGGCTTGGTGTGTTTGACTCCTTCGGAAATTACACACTTAGCGCAATCTCAATTGCACATGATGTGCTCTGAATTATGTTGAATTATGCACGTTTTGCCTCTCGAGGCACCACCGCCGCCGCCGCCGCCGTCTCCGCCACTACAGTCAAGATGCACACCTACACACGCTCGGCTATTATATGCCGCACATATATACGTCGTTCAATGAGTTTCGAAACGCTTTTGGCTCTCTCTTTCTGCGGAACAAATGCTCTCCGCACGCTATACAAAGTAATACGTGTATACGCATCGAGGAAATTTTCATAAGCTGCGACGCGCGAGCTGGCTCCCCTGCCATATACGGCGCTATATTTTGCGCAATGCATCACGATTCCGTCCTCTTACTTTGATGAAGATACTCGCGATTGTGTGTGCAAGCGCGCGCGAAGACACGTTAAACGCGGATATGTCATTGATTTCGTAAAAGCTTTTGTCGTATGATTGTGACTTTCGCTGCGGACGACGACGACGTTGATGATTTTAATTGTCCTATCGCCTATGCACTTTCGGTGTACGCGTATAATAATATATCGTAAGAATCAGCTAATGGTAAAGATCTTTGGAAACACCGAGAGGAGTGCATTATATTGCAATTTGTATAATTATACACGAGTTAATCATGCGAATCCCAAACCTCAAAGTGATTTTTGCTATGAAGCACGTCTAATGCAAGTGACGTTCTTAACGATGAAAAGTGATTGAGTAAAGAAAAAAAGTTGAGGTTTTCGCAAATGTTGTAGGAAAAATAAATTGCCCGAGACTGGGATATAACTGCGCGATACTAATTTGCGAAAAGAGGAAGCTCGGTGCGAGATGAAACGCCGCTTTTATATTTCAATGACTCGATTCCCAGATGTACAGCCGGTGGCGAAGCACGATAGAGACGCGCGATAAAATCAACGACTTACCCTCGCCGAGTGCACTTGAATCGATTCGACGCGTATACTTATTTGAATCCACGTTGTTTTTGCATTAATACAACCTGAAATTAATTTTTTTTTCTTACATCATTCTCCCTCTTCTTCTTTTTCAATTTTCCGCACGAACGTTCCATCTTGTACGTCTCGAGCTTCTCTCCTTGATTAAATTCCAATTGCGTACTGTAATCTCGTGCACAATGTGCGGTCGAGGCACGGTTTTTTCGACGCCGAAAAAAATAAACAATTTGTTTCTTCGTTGCACATACGCAAGCCTAAGTACCATGGACTGTTGCAAATGTCGACGCGGCTCAAACGTTAATTCCTAGCATTTGTATTAGTACGTTCTCCACCGAGCGAAAACCAACATCGTTCGAGTGTGCAGTCGAGAAAAACGTGAGTTATGAATTGATGTAAAAATAGCGAAACCCTTGAAGAGTTAAGTGCCGAGCAAACAGAAAAGCTATGCGCGCAACCGAGCGAGCGAACCAGCGTCACCGGACTCTAGGCGCGTAAAAATATATATTTATATGCGAATTTCGTCCCGTTACAAGTAGAGTCGTTATACGTCCGGCTTATGGTGGCCGCACGCGTTCTTGTGTGTATATACGCGAGTATTATATGCTAAATCAACAGTTTCATGATTATTAGCGGCTCCGGCGATTTTATTACGTAGAAGAGGATGATGATTTAGCGGCAAAGGAGTTTAGAGAAACAGAAAGAGAGGCAAATACTTCATAACCCGCTGAGAGAAGCTGAATGAATAAGCGCGTACTATCCACAACAATGACTTATAAACAGGAAGTCTGATGTCACTGCTACAAGTATGCATAAATAATGGCATAATATTGCGCCTTCTCTTGAACGTTATTTAATGAAAATTTTCACGCACTCATTTAGCATCGATATGCTTATACTCATTTGCTCATTACATTCACTTGAGGGTTCATTACCTATAATCAAAGACTCGTATGGATTGTGTTACTACATTAATCCTTATAATCCGCGATTAGACAAAAATTAATTATTATACTATTTGTTATAGATAAAATACTAATGAAATAAGGCATTATATCCTATTTGTTAGGTGTAACTTCACAAATTTGTTAAGAGCCCCCATAAATTTTGCCTCAAATGACTTTCCTTACTGATTTGTTCATATAGTTTACGAATATATAGACGGAACTTACAAAAAGCGAAAATGAGAAAGAAGTTGATTTAGGACCCAACAAAAAGCTCCCACGATAAAGTAATGAAAAGGAAAAACGAACGATGAGTATTCCGTTCGACGATTGGTCCAGAAAAATGTCAAGCTTGCTTGTGTGCACTCTGCAAAATCATTGTGACTTTGTGTATAGGCGCGATAAACGTCGATGACTCTTGAGAATCTCTCTCGCGAAAAAAATGTTAACGCGCGCAAGGATACGAAATTGCGCCTATACACATGCAGCCACCGATGTGTGCAGATTTATACAAACCGTTATGACCTGGAATCTTTGGTGTGCCCGAGCGTCCGCGGCTTTTATAGGTATGCGTATATTTTTGTCTGCCTCGCTCTCTGTGCGTAACGCGCACGCAAACACACACACACATACACATTTCGTGTAGCTTCTCTCGAAGCTTATATAAATTACCGGCAGACGCTTGTAACGATGTAAGGAACCTGTTTCGTTTTCGACGATTATCGATTTTCTGTGGGTAGGAAGAGTTTGCGTCGAAAGTCTCGACGGCATATTAGAAGCGCGAATATGAGCCATTTAGTCGCGCGATCGAGTGACAATTCCTATATTTTTTACGGCTAGTCGATGGTGATTTATAGAGAGAAAATAATATTATACGTTTTGTCATTCAGCCAAGTTCGGGCGATTTTAAAGCCACGAGACTTGAATTTACAGCTATCTAATGATTTATTTATACCGGGGTTGATGAAATTCCTCGCGTACTACTGGCTTGTAAGAATTCATATTGTTTAACCAACTAATTGTTATTTTATGAGCGCTTCAATTTTTCAAGTCTTTACTCGGGCATCAAGAAAATTTAATTAATTCTTTCAAATATACGATAAAAAACACGTGCATAGAATTGAGCTAATTGAGATGAATATAAAAGAATTTTTTTATGAACCTGCTCGGAGCTTTGTACTAAAATAGATCAACATCCTTCAGATATTATAATTCATGGCTGTCGCAGCGCGCAAACAAGGCTGACTTCAAGGTAAATGTTGTCGAAAAATCAAGCAATGCTATGATTTTATAAAAGTTTGTTTGAAGAAAAGAATCTCTTCAACGATATCTACCTTTATATCAATGAATTCTTACGTGCGCGCGTAATTCAAGAGTAGCGGTATATATTAGGAGAAGATAATCAGTCGTTGAGAAACAAACCGTAAGGCTATTTACTATATATTGCGCAATTCTTTGATGCTTCTGTTTGCCTATTGTATTGCGTGTTTATAAATGAGCCATAAAGATGATTAGGGTTATGAGGATGTGATTCTCCCTTAATTAAGGGCGAAATCATCGTTGTTTCCCATTTGTTAGACTTTTTGAGGTAATTAGTTATTCTCGACCGACCGCTTAGGTATATATGTGCGGCTGTTATCGTAGGCGCATAACAAATTGGATCGTTTCCGTAAAAGTGAAAATCACGTTAGTTGCAGCTGGCGCGTTTGCTGCACACAAGGCGAAAGACAGAAACGTACACAACACAAATTCTCGAAGGCTTAGATAAGCCCTATATAAATTCACCGGCAAACCTCGAGCGCGCGAGAAACGAGAAAAATCCTGCAGCTGCTTGGAAATTTGTATTCTGGCTTTGCTCTTTTTTTCCTCGCTAACTCGTGCACATACACAGTACACACACGCGGCGTACTTACACGTGCGCATTTCCACTTACGGTTCCTCCAGTTTACGTGTAGATAATTAATCGCGCGAAGAAAGAAAGTCAACGTATGGAGCAGCATATAACACTTCTAAACCAGTTATATGATCGGCTCGACAAAACGCCGCTACGATCTCCGGGCTAAACAGTGATGTCTGCTGCATTTGTACCTGTGTGTATACCTACGTATTGCATTGCAGCAGGTTCAAAGCTTATAAATCGCCTTTCGCCGTGTACTGTACGCCACACATGCACAATCGCGTATACTTGAACACATATACACTCTCAAAAGCCAAAGTGACTTTCTCCCGGATTCCTTGAAGTCACCTGTGCACGCGTGACATTCTTTCTTGCAGATATGGAGGTGAAGGCAGCCTTGCGCGTAATATAAAATATGCATGGATGAGAAAAAAATGCGTGCATTTGTGCACACGTTTAAAGACGAATTTATTGGGAAAACTATTTATGGCTTTTGTCACGCCTTTCAATTTTCCTTACTCCTTAAATTTTGACACTCTGAAAATGTATCAATTACAATTGAAGATGCAACGAAATATTATATAAGTTATTTCGGGTACATAATTTTGAATTCGAGTAAATAATATTTGCCGAAATTTTTATAATATTCTAGTTATTCTATCTTGGTAAATGTTTTTACTTCTCACATTTAAAATTTGGTTTATTTTATTATTTACAGGGAGGATTCAGACTTCATATTTTAGATGCAATGGGTAGGCAAGCAGTCGACCTCACTCCACGCACCAAGGAATCTGATTTCATTGAAAACGATGCTACGTAAGTTCTTGAAGATTTTGCGGGAATTATTAACTCTACGCTATATAAATATTTACTATAAGTGTTTTATCAATTACTTGTGAACAGGGCCCAAAGTTATGCAGTTGAGCTATCTAAAAACTTTACGTGCACCGATTGTACCATTAGATTGCTTCGCAAAGCCTCAGAGTGGGGAGACAATTACATGTTCTGGTCTTGCGCTGACATTGATGTAAGTTAATCACCATTAAAGTATAAAAAATTTGATCTTATAATGAAGATTTCTCGCGTTTCTGTCAGCATAAGTGCTTATGACGGGCATTCATTTCATTTTTGTCAAGTCAATAACTCAAAACAAAATATTAAGGTCAAATTATTATCTTTTAGCTATACAACTTTTACTTGACATATTACATTCATTAATTTTATCATTAAATTTTTCCAATTAAAAACTTCTACTATGCCACAAATGTAAAAACTGTGAACAATTTAGCACGTACGCTGCGCTCCTAATTAAACCGATACGCACACAATATAGTAAGAAAATTTCACAACAATACTCGACTAGGTCTAACAATAGAGATGCAGTATGCATTCAATGCAATGTGAATAGTTTGATGATAATACCATAGCGAGTACATAAAACCTTGGCGCGAATCATGACTAATATGAATTATAAGAAAAATACATAATCGTTTTTGATAATTACAGATTGTCGAGAAAAAGGTATACAGAGAAACGTGCAGCAATCACGGCCGTTTCATTTCGAACCGCTGCAGATGCGAACGACTGTATCACGGACCTCGATGCCAGTACAAGGAGGAATGCTTGGATAACGCGGACTGTGGCACGCAGGGTGTCTGCGTCACAAACGTGGCCACGACCTCGCCTGCCAACCACTGCTACTGCCAGGTGGGATGGTTCGGACCGAACTGCTCGAAACGTGAGTATAAAATCAGCGATACCAAGACTAATAGAAGAGAAGGCCAATTTTCTATCGTTTCGTGACTTGCACGCAGGCTCGCCGGTAAAAAACATCGACCTCGACCTGGACGCGTACTCGATGCGACGATTCTCCAGCGATTTCACTTTCTATTGGCGCATACTCAAGGACACCCAAGAGTTCGAAGGTGTCGCCGTTGTGAACAGCACTACCTGGGTCGGTGTGGGCTGGCGCCCGAGCGACCTCACGAAGAGCTGTCGCGCCATGCCGGCGATTCAAGATCGCAACGCAGCCAAGAAAAGTACTCCCGAGCCGTTGCCGCGACCGGAGCCCAAGAGCGAGCCCGAGCCCGAACCCGAGGCGCACCCCGAGCCGGAGCCCGAACCCGAGCCACACGCCGAGCCAGAGCCCGAGCCCGAACGAACTCAAGTCAGGTCGAATAACAACAAGCGTTCGGCTAAGCACGAGGCAGTCGTAAACGATGACGATGTCACGGTCCAAACCAGCGTGACGTATCACGTTAGCTCCAAGAATGGTGAGTATAGTTTCACGATCCGATAAATGTCGTTTCTCAACCTTATACTACTTTCTCTGGGCGAAGCGGTAATTATCGTCAAACGATTTTTGCAAATTTTTTTCTCTTTGCCAACAGGTCGAAAGAAGAGAACGCCAGAGCCAGCGCAAAAACAAAAGACCGGTAAGTAACAATTACATTTCCATTGTACGATTAGTCGTGCGCTTAATTTTAAGGCCGCAAGATTCTTGCGTGTAAATGATCGGAGGATGATAGCCTCTCGCGAAGTTTTTTTTTTATATAAAAGCCGCGAACCACAATTGTAAGTCTCGCGTCGTCGTTTATGCGATGAGTATCGTATATTTCACTAACGCCCAAGCCATTGACCCTCAGCTCGTTCAATATTATACGCTGACGATGTACGACTATGTACTGCTTACACAGCTGCGACGTTGCATCAACTCATTTGCAAGCAATCAAATTATATTCACCAAATAACTATTAACGGCACTCTTGCAAATTAGATTGAAAAGGCAATAGAATTTTTTATAATTATTAATGAAAAACATGCAGACGCGATGCAAGTTCAATTTACCATGTCAAGTTGTACAAGCCATGAAATCGTTCTGTTTTTAATTAAATGAAATAAATTGAAAATCGCGAGGCGACGAACTCGGGAAAATAGAACTCTTTTATGTTCAAAGTTTTGACGAGCTATCGCCGCGTAAAAAAGTTTTCTTTTGAATTTTTATAAGATCATGTAAATAATCAGTACAAGTTTGCTAAACTTGTCGTGCATCGAAGATTTTGAATGCGTATAACAAATTATGTCGATCAATATATTCAGAATATTTGCAATGCTTGATGAGCTGCACAGTACACGTGCAAAATTATTGAAATTTACATTCTAAATACTCTGAGAGGCGCAAAGACTATGATGTGTAAAAAATATTCTAGATATTTTGTATGCTCGGAGTAAACGTTGACGTTAAGAATACTTAATTATGTTAAACGAAAATTTGACAAAATATTTGAAAATTAAATGAACAAACAGCAACGTGAATAGTATTTCAATGACAGACTAATCACTCGAAGTTTCAGCGAAAGTACACCACTTAAGATTTTGGCTCTTAATTTTAATAAAATATATAAACATGAGCAAGCACACAGCAACGCATCCACAGTAGAATATTCCTTTCGCACGATGCGTAATTTTATACTTGGTATATTATTACACTGAAAACCGCAAAATAAAAAAAGGTTTCAATTAAATGCCAGAGTATAACAGTAACTATCAATCTAATAAACATCCTTAATTATTCATAGAATATAATTTTAACGAGGTGAAGGTGTGTAAATGGTGGCATGTATTGCTTTTTTGCACAGGGGAACCAGCCAGCGAGCCCGAACCTACCTCAGAGCCAGAACCTATATCCGAGCCAGAGCCAAATTCCGAACCAGAACCTAGCTCAGAACCCGAACCCAAGTCCGAGCCTGAACCTACCTCGGAACCAGAACCTAAATCCGAGCCAGAGCCTACGTCTGAACCAGAGCCTAATTCTGAACCCGAACCAAGTTCAGAGCCAGAACCAAAATCTGAGCCAGAGCCTACCTCGGAACCAGAACCTAAATCCGAACCGGAGCCTAACGCAGAACCTGAACCCAACGCAGAGCCCGAACCTAACGCAGAACCAGAGCCCGAATCCGAGCCCGAACCAAAATCCGAACCTGAACCTGAACCTAAATCCGAGCCCGAGCCTAAGTCTGAACCCGAACCCAAATCGGAACCCGAACCTAAATCTGAGCCAGAGCCCCATTCGGGAGGGTCGAAACAGCAAACTAAGGCGAAACAAGGATCGCCCAAAGGTAAATCCTCCAAGCAGTCTAAAAAACTAATTTCTCAAACTTCTGTCTGTCATTATCACTCCGAATACTCATGCGTCTCTTTAACGTTTATTACTGCTGCGAATCGAGATTACGTTGTTATAATATAACTCGCAACACGTTTCTCGTCTTAGCATTATCATCTGCTCTTTTCTACCTTTTTTTCGTGAATTCAATCGCACTACTCGTAAGTTAATTATCTTTCACTTTGATTATGTTGAATGGGAAAAAATAGAATCGCTTGGCAAGTACACGCCGAAACATGATTTCCATGCCATGGACTGTACGGATATCGTGATTGGCTCGGCTCGAGGCATGGCGCATCGAATCGGAGATTATTACACGCGCGACAGGTCGACGCCACGTCTCGACTCGTTCTGGGGCGGTAAGGACAGTCTGACCGCTGCCATGGGATTCGAGCGAGACGGAGTCACGACAATATTATTTAGGCGGAAACTTGCTGCCGACGAGCACTTCAGTGACCACGAAATTGCCGACGCAACTATGCAGGTACGCCCACTTTCGCATTATTTTCTCTTTCCCTTCGTTCTTTTTGCTTTTCTCGGATAGTCATTCGGTTATTATATTTTTCAATATAATTACAGGTAATTTGGGCTAAAGGCCAAGAACCTGGCAAATACATTCACCAGCCACCGAGCGGTATCGAGAAGAGTAAAGTTAGTGTCAAGGACTTTTACAAGACCGATGAATTAAAATATCACGGACACAGGTCTCAGCGAGGCATTGCCAGCATCAACTTTTTTGGTGAGCATCTTTGTCGATATTTGTTTGCCGAATAATATGACTAATGCAGTTCTAAGAAAATTTTTTATGCACGGAAAAAGGCGTCAGATAATTTATTCATTCATAAAAAAAGCTTCCGGAACAGCTTATGATTCATAAGTAGAATCACACAATTGGTAGTCAAACATTTATTTTAAATTAATTTAAGAAAAAAGTATCGAATAGCGCTTATGAGTCATTATGATTTTATTTACGTCAGCTCGCGAAATATTAGAAAAGAAGTCTAATGATTTCCAATCGCTTCTGAAAATCCATAACATTCTTAGAATACGCAATCACCTAAATAACGTTTTCTCGTTAACGAGTAACTTGTAACTTACATCAAACACTATTGCAATGAAAAATAAGTGTTTTATGGTAAAAGCGCGCTGCAGCCACGCGCTTATGTTAGTGGTTTCGTTACACAAGCATTCATTTTATAAGTCGTTAAAAAAACTTGCAGAGGATGAGAGTGACAAGAAGAACAGTAGAGAGAAAGACCACGATGAGTGCAGCGGCGAATGGAATTACCCGAAGCAGTGTTCGGTAGAAAATTACACTTGCGAATACAGCGTGAGATGGGTCTACAATTCGAAAAAGGTGTGTTTAAATGCAGTAAAAGGATATATCGTAAAATCTCATTCTTCAAAACCGTTTATTTTTTCTCACCGCTGTATTTTTTTCACATTTTAGGAGGAGATATCGTTCACGATAGTGACCAAGAACGTCGATAACTGGACGGGCATAGGTTTCTCGAAGGACGAAAAAATGGTAATTATGAAAGCAATAAACTTTGGAAGAATTTTAGTATAGCGATGAATATTTCTGTAACCCTGTATTGCGCTTGACTTTAGACGAAAACCGACGCCATTCTTGGATGGGTCGACAAAACGAGCGGCCGGCCATTTATAAGCGACACCTGGATCGACAGCTACGGGGCTCCAACCCTCGATTCATCGCAAGACATCTACAACACCAGTGGACGCATCGAACACGGCCAAACGACCCTAAGATTTACGAGAAAGAGAGTAACCAAAGACGAAAACCGTGACTTATTCTTCACGGACGAGCAATGTCTCTACTTGATGTACCCCATTAAAGGAGGTTCCTTCCATCCTGTAAATAAAAGAATCGGCAAACATCAAGAAACGCCGATAGTGTCGACGCGAAAATTGTGTTTCAAATCAACGTCGGTGTGCAATCTTGATGGTTAGTAGATAAGTAGGCTAGCTAGCCTTAATTTTTGTCAGTCAAGAAAATATAATTTTCATAATTATTTCCAGATAATAATGAATTAGCCACACCAGTTCCGCCTACTAGGATATTCTACGATTTCGAAGTCAGACTGACAAATCTTGGAGTCGGATACAATGCTCCACCGCCAGGAACGGACAGTTTCCAGGACATCTCAAATACAATTACCGATAGTTTCACTCCAGCACTTCAGAAAGTCCCTGGTTTCCATCATCTGAAGCTTAGCGAATTGAAAAAGTAAGTTAAATTTTCCATTTTAAGCCTATTGTCCTTTTCGGCTGTGTAAACTAATTTTTCTCATTTCTCTCGAAGCACTGGCGACGACGGCGTTATCGCGAAATTCCGCCTAGCCATGGACAAGATAAAGGGTCGCAAGATAACGATCCCTTCGGAAGACCATACAGCTGACCGCGCCAAAGCCGTCTTATCGAAGTCGCTCAGCAGTGGAAAAGTCGGTGCTCTCTCGGTCGACCCGAACTACCTGGTGCTCCGCTCCTATCAATGTAAGAGATCTGACTCGTGATGCTATAACATTTCACTTCTTTGGATGCAGTAAATAATCGATATTGTTATTTTGCCTCGATAGCCGATGCCAACGACTTGGATAAGGAAGGAAGCGAGAATACTCTCGCGTCTGGACTATTGATAGGCCCCACGAAGCTCTACATCGTCATCGGCTGCTTCGTGGCTCTTTTGCTTGTCGCTCTCCTTCAAGTTACCTGCACTATTTACAAAACTTCGAAGAAGCGCACCACCAAGGTATGTCAAGCGTTAATAATAGTTATAAATATATATAAATAAAAAACGTCGGTTTATGTTACTACTTCGAAATGTGTTCGTCGGTTCTTTGCTTCGCTTTGTGTATAGAGAGATACACTCGTTATTCTGTACATGAATATCTTGAGAAATTACTTCACTTTATCGATCCCTGACAAAAAACGAAACACAAACTTTTCGGTAATCATTCATGGCACCGTATCCCACAATACAATATATTATACACAAATTCAAATTCCCTTTTCAATTTCTCTTTCTCTTGCTTGATTTTTTTCATCTTGCTCTCATTACCACTTTTTTATGCATTGTACGATTCTGAAACTGCGCGATGATCACAATCGATTCTCTCTTTTATTTGAAAATCGCATGACTCGAGAACTAGAGAAAAATATTAAGTACTAAAGTGAACAAGAGAAGAAGAGAGAAATCAAAAGATGCAAGTATAAGTAGAGTTACACAGACAGACATTAGAAAGAGAAAGAGAGAGAGAGAGAAGGAGAGGAAGAAGAAAAACGTTGTGCTTTTGCTTGTGTTGCATGTAAACGATCATACTATCTACTTAAAAAAAAAAACTCTTGCTCACGCTCGCAACAACCATCCATACGATATACGTACATACAGAGAATCTACTCGCTGCCCCTGATGACGACGGCCGCCGCGCCCGTGGCGGCGAATCCGATCCACCTGCGCGCGGGTGGCAACGGCACTAGTCACCGGCAGCGACCGGGTGCCAACGGCTACGACAATCACGCCATGAGCCATCATCATCATCAGCAGCACCTCCATCATCACCAGCAGCAGCAGCAGCAGCAGCAGCAGCAGCAACTGCATCACCAGCAGCAGCTCTACTATCAGCAACAGCAGCAGCAGCTGCACCTGCCGCCCAATATGCACAATTGGTAGTCGAGCGAGAAAGAAAAACGAGCGCAATTTTTCTCTCGGTTCCAAGAGCTTTTTGTCTTTTTCACAGGTATCCGCTGTCTGCTTCTCTGCCTGTCTGTCTGCATCATAATATAAAATGCTTGCATCACTTACATATTCTCTCTTACTCTCTTACTCTCGCTCTCTCTAGCTCTAATTTCTAATTACTCATTTGCTCATCAACACCATCGTACGGTACCGCACTCTTCATTATATGCACCATTAATTTTTTAAGTCACTGTCGCTTGGTTCGTACGTAAACATTATCATATACGTTTAATAGTTACATGCATCACATTTACCAAGCACATATATTCTGCATGAAGTACCTAGTTTAGTCGAGTGTTCGTCGTTGATGTTATGGATACAACGATGTAATTGTAAATATTCCATGGCAAGAGCGCAACTGTTAACTTTTGTTATTCCACGAGGTTTATTATAATTATTCAAAGCATTAAGATACACAATTGCGATTGCCAATTCCATCAATACCGACTAAAAATTATTAAAATATCTGAAAATTATTTTAATGCATCGTAATTAATTAAAATCATATTATATTATACTTACTATTCGATGGGAATAGTTTGTTAAATTTCATAAATATGAAAATGATAAGTAATAAATAAAACTCATTATACAGAGCCACAGTTATGAATACACTTGTTGTATAGGAAAGGTCAGTTCAGGGGTCACGTTATAGTCATTCATTATCATTCATTAAAATCATAGTCATTTTCATAGATAATTGCTCGTGAACATCCCAGTTATTCATTACATAATTAACAAATTAATTTTGTTTCACAGGACCGACTAATCGGTAAAAACGGCTGGGTGGATTACTCGACCTCGGCAAACACTAATTTCGCCTTCGAAGCCTTCGAAACGGAAGAAAAGTCACCACCGCCTCCCGTCTCGAGTCTCAGCCGACCTCGTGAAATGATGATGATCAGCAACGGCCACCATCCCAGCAACGGCGACACGAACACCAAGAGCGTGAACGGACACTACAGCAATCATCATCACTCGCAGATGATGTCGTCGCCGCAGCAGCAGCCGCAGCTCAATATCCCGGGTCAGCGCAACAGCGTGGCGATGATGCCGCCGGGACCCAGGGCCACCTACAGTCTGCCGCGAGGCCCCCGACCAGGCAACGGCGTGTCCTCGAGTCCGGGTGTCGTGGCCGCTGGCTATTATACCCAAGACAGGCGCAACGCGCCGCGTTACGGCAACGGCAAGGCCGGTCCCAACGGCCACAATTCGCAGAACCAGCCGGACTTTTACTTCATGCCGAGTCAGAGAAAGTACAGTGGCGAGGTTGTGCGCGTTTACGTTGATTACGCCAATCAAAAAACTAAATGAACACTGCGATGCCGTCCCCTCTCATTACTCCGTCAAGTGCCCAATACATAAATATACATAAATAAATATTTACGTATATCATTTCCGGTATATATTACGCAATGTATATCAAAAACTAAGTCTTGCGCGTCATACTTAATTTATAACACGAATGGAAATTGTGCGTCTGTGAATGTTCGTTAGTAGCACATGCGCACCCTTTTCAATCTTAGTTTCGTATCGATTTCTGTATATAAAAACCAATTTAATAAAATAATACCTCTATATTCATTACTATTATTATAAAAATATTATGGATATTATTGTTGAAAGTTCATATTCGATAATTAGGATATTTTCATTACTTTGCTATTTTTTAATTTTAATTTAAGAACAAAAATTGAAAAGAGGAAGAATCTTTAAGATTAAAGAGGAAACTCTAGCCCCTAGTGTAGCTAATTTATAAACATTGTATGTTCACAGCCAGTCTCAAGATGTAAATTTGTTTCTAAGTTTATTATTCTCGAGTGTTGAAATAATTTATCTTGTAAATAGGCAACGCTCGATGAATTTTAACGTCACCGTGTACACTTTAGCGTGTACACGTGACGAAGAGAGCTTGCGTGTACATTTTTTATTTGATCGACTCATAGATTATATTATACGTTAAACAAAACTCAAATGCGTGTATATATACACACTATATTTAAAACATGTAGCTATGACAAAATAAAATCAATAAATTATATTTCACGATGTTATTGTTTATAAAATGATACTAAAAATTATTGAGTACTATACTGCTATATTTTGAACGGTCCAATTCCGATTTATGTACTACCTTGGGTAATTCATTCGCTTAAAAATGTTATTTCTCAGTCGTAATTAGGAAAAAAAGGACTGGAATTGATGACCATGTTTTTGAATGAATAATAAATAAATGTTTGTACATTTTTCAACCCAAATAAGTTTCATTCTATTTCAAACATATTCGTATAAGATATCCATTTATTTTAACAAATTACAATGTTCCTTTCATAAAAACAAACATGAGATGGAAAAAATTATCATAACACAACGGTACAATTAATACATTGTGGAGAATTCATAAAATGTAAAATATCGCATAGTTTTACAAGTACTGTATCGGCTTCTAAAAAAAGAACACAAAAATAACAACGGATGAAGAATAAAATACAGCTAAAGCGACAGACGTTCACGGTTGTCTAAAAAGCACGACCTAAAAACTATAAAGATCCAGTTGAAATTCGTTACGATCGTTTGATAATGATAACGCCTATGTGCTACTGGACCACATAAAAGGGAAACTTATCCCATCTCTTACAATGCAATATTTTATTAGAATAATTTATTAACTCATTAATTACAATAGTAGCTGTGAGCAAATAAAAAAGAAAAATCGTCTTCTTTGAAATTTTATAACGTCTTTTTTATTTTTCTATATCATTTAATTCCATTTGCAAAGATCGAATACGCATTTTCAGGCGATTCTTCTATCATTTCACTCAAACTTGTTAAAAGTTTTACGGACAGAAATACTTTGAGAAATGTCAAGAAAACTTAGTCAAAATTTATATTGAATTTCCAAAGATTTTAACATGTGACAAAGCAAAAGTTGATGCTTAAAATTGAAAACTTTTTTTGTCATTCACGGTCTTAGAATTAATGTGTAAATACCAAAAAAGAACCGAGTCATTATAAATCAAATCAAAGTTTTGAATCAAGCCATTTGACAAATTAATGAATAAATTTAAAATTTTTATTTACGAGTTCCCAGAGATCAATAAAGTATTTGTTTGGTATCAATTCTCATTAAAAATACTCCACGATTCTAGGAATTAAGCTTGATGCATTTAACTTTACGTACATATGACACTTTGTTCAGGTGAATCTTCATTATTACCCACTAAAAATCGAAACTGATGATTGATTGGAGTATATAGAAGTGATAAAAATTACATGTAAGGGAAATTCCATAATTTTTTTCTTCTATAAATCTACACCTAGTTTTTGACTAGCAAAATAAGATCATGGTACTAATATACGGGTAAGGCACAAGTAGAAAAAGCTTTAAATAGAGGTGAGTTACCGAGAAGTCGTTGTACGTACTTAGAGCATCCGATAAATAGTAAGGAACATAAAATGACATTTTCCAAAAGTCCATTTTCCTTATTTTTGCTCTTAGTACTTCTGTCCATATACAGTAGAATAAATTTCATATTAACATGATTATTATCATCAGTGCAGTACTTCATTTCGTCGTATTTCCTATATTTTTTATTAAAAGTCATAACAATTACATATTACATATATAATAATAATAGTAATAATAATCTTAAAAATTATAATAATATTAATAATAATAGCTTTACATTCAGTATTTTTTTATGCTTGAACGCCACGGCTGATGTAGTTCGTCCACGTTTATTGATCATACACGGCTATAGTACACAATCAAGCGGAATCGGAAGAAAAAACCTGAGTGTGTTTCTTTTTTTTTCACATGAGTATATTTTTTATTATTTTATACATCTATATGTAGGAGAAATTTTTTCATTGGAAAATTATTTTCATTGATGTACAAGTTATATGCAATGCATTTCAATGTAAGAGTACTGAAAGTGATAAAACGAAAGCTTCTAATATATTTATATATTTGTATTCTCACTCGCATGCACAGCAGCGAGCAGTAGTAGTATCAATAGTAGTAGTAGCAATTTTACTGGTGTCTTTTTTTCCCTTTTCTTCTTCTCCATTAGCTCAGTTAAGTAATGTGTATATTTTTTATTATGCACGATAATGCATTTTACTTGAGTAAGTTGATGATGTTATTGTTGTTTCTTTTTTTCCCGACTCTTACTTTATCTCTTTCTCCCTTCTTGAATATTTTTATTTTCCCTTTCAAGTGACAGAAAAGACTAACGCCACTCCAGCTTTTGCTTCTTAAAAAAAATTATTTCTCACGCGTGCGCCACACTGCTTTTCCTCCTCTCTGTACTTTTCTTGGGCTTTATTGCTGATCGTAGAGGCTTTACTTTCGGTGCCTTATGTCTGAGTCTTTATTTGCTGATGGCTTACTGTAAAAAAAGAATTACGCAAGATTTAGTTGTAATATTTTCATTGTTACGCGAAAAAATATTAAACTTAAAACATTTCGCTCGCCCGAGTCACGTGAACATTTTATTTGTTTTTTTTTCATCGCGTAAAATCCAATTGGTGGTTTTGAAATTATGCGAGATTTCGCTATCACTTTACATGTTTTAATGAGCTTTTGAATCAAATTTACAAAATAGTTAATGAAATAAAGAAATTCCTGAACTACGATTCATCATTACAATTGTAAAAACAATTCATTCGCACTTTTAATCATTGAAAATAGAGATAATATATGAAATACTTGGTAACTAATCTCGAGCACGATTCGAAATAATCTTCAATACGTGTCCTCTTTTGTTTTCGATCTCGGCTAGAGAGAACTGCCGCGTGCACGCCTTCACGGGCATGCACACATATATAACAGATAAAGAAAGTATCACATAATAGCGGTTTACAGGAGAAATAAAAAGAAAAAGAAGCCAGAACGAGAGAGAAGAGTTCCGTACAAATCTCGTAAGATTTCCGACTGTAAAACTTCATCGGTCGGTCGACGGAGGGATATAACGACGGTGTGTTCACCGTCGTCGTCCGCGACCTCGTTCGCCCCATGTACGTGAGCGTGCGTCTGTCGTTGTGTGCAGTGATTTCGCAATGTCTCTTTGGGGGGGTTGGCTCGATGTCGTCATCATCAACGGCTTTGTTCAAGAGTACAGTCTTGCAAGTTTCTTAGGAGCCAAGAGAGGGGTAGAAATACAGGAAAAGTAGCCGAGATAAAGGTAAGATCTTGAACACACTGCACACTGCGCGTATACATAGCCGAGACGACCGTTGCCAGAAGCACATAGCCAGGAAGAATATAGCTCCGCCGAGGGGAATAAAGGACAGTCGTGATGCAGAGCAGAAGAAAAGGGCCAAGGAAGATGACTCGCTTTACAGCGAGAAAGAGAGAGAGCTATATTGCGGAACTGCTTGTCCGCAAGCAGAGATGTTGGACAATGGTTAGGCAGGCTGCGCGCTTGCTGTGTGCCCATCGTATACACAGTACACACATGCTTAGAATCGATATAACGGCCGAAGCCCCAATTTTCTTCCTTTTTTTTACTGCAGCAAACTTATTATACACGCACATATACACATTCACCGACGAACAATGATTTTTTTCTTCTTTCTTTCTTTCTTTCTTTCTTCGTTTTTTTTTGTTTTTTTTCGTTTGTTCAAATTCGCGTGAGAGTATTCAACAAAAAAATTACTTAGTACTTGATATGGTTTCTTAGATCAGTCCCGTATTACGCCCCGGTGCGACGAAGTCTACTTCTGATCGGTTCTTGAACTAAAAATATGTACATGGGTAAAAGACAACGCGAGATTAAAAAAAAGAATGAAAGACCATTTATATTCAAAGAAAAGTAACTTACGTATCGGGACTCTGGTCAGTGTCGGACTCTTCGAGCTCGGACTTGTTGCGTTTCTTCTCGTAAACGAGGATGATGATGCAGAGCACGATTACCTCGGCGCAAATGCCAAGGAACGGCCAGAAAGCGGCGAATTTGTCTTTGACCCTCAGGTAGGTAACGGCCGTGTCTATGTGCATCGGATCGGATTCCTCGCCGCTGTAATAAGCGATGCAGGTAACGTTGCCACGATCTTCTTGCTTGACTTCGTCGAGACTGAATACGGCGTTGGAGTAACCGTGTTCCTCATCTTTCGACAATTTTACGCGGTTCTTGTTGCCGGTATAAATCTCTTTGTTAAATTCCCATTTGATTTTCATGCCTGGATCGCCGGTCTTAACAATGCAAGTCAAATGAAGCTTGTCACCTTCGATTACATTGGTCGATTCTTGCATGGATACAATGGGTTGTCCTGTTGTTTGAAACAGAAAGATGCAGTTGAAACGTTGATTTTATTTTTAATATTAAAAAAGAAAGAAGAAAAGAACCAAACGTTACTTACGAACAACGCGGTAATTGGCAGTTTCATTTCCGACTTTGCACGTGTAGTTGCCGTAGATTTGTTCGTCTTTGGCGTCGAACGAGACGATCACGGTGCTACCGTCATTTTTGATTTCGATATTGCTGCTTGTTTCCAAAGGCTTGTCATTTTGGCTCCACTGGCCGTCTCTTCCGCTTCCTGGACATTTAAGCTCGACTTTGTTGGTTTCGTTCTTGGGTAAGACTCTGAACGAGATATCTATAAAACAAAAATTTACGAAATTTTGAGTAAAACATTTAATTGAGATTGTTAATACTCTGAAACGTCGATGTTAATAGAGTGATGAACGCTACATTTATAGGATTTATGTTTTCATTTACAATCGCAAAAAAAATACATCCAATGAACTATTTTTGCGTAAAAGCTTTGATCGTCTATCGGAAAAGCTGTACGCATTTTATCAGAATTTTACACGTTCATACATGAAACTTTTTTATTCTCGAAACCCAGCGATGGAACGCATGTATTTATTTAAGCCAGTGTAAAGACTAGTGACAGCCACTCATACAGTTGTTCGTATTGTTTGTGTGTACGGATGCATGGACAACAACAAAAAATCCTCGCGCGAGCGAGTTACAATAAAAATTAAAAATTGCATTGTAAATAATGGTTTTTATTATCGAAAGGTTGGTAACCTCCTGCCTGTCTGTGCGTATGTACACAGGCTGCTCTTGTCAGTCACCGCGCGCACTTGAATCGTAAATCTTGCCAATAATAAGTCAAAAATTTTCACGCAAACCGAGCTGTATATGCTGTCTACTGTCTCTTCATCAAAGCGACCATTTATATTGCAACAAGCTATCTGCTACATAGCTGTGCAGAGATGGCAATTATTCTCCTATCGCATATCCCTGTATATGCATATTTATGCATCAGAATCATGAGTTACCTTTATATGCAGTTTCTCTCTATTTGTGCGCATTGTGTGTGTGAGTGTATTCTACACTTTTCCAGAAATATGGACTAAAACTCCAACTATACGCGCACTCAGCCAAGCACTTGCACACATGCAGAGGCAAAACTGGGAAGAGACTGCTGCGCACAGCTGCGCTGAGTGTTGGAATTAAGTAACTCGAAAATTGCACTATGTACTGGCTGTTCGCTACAACTGTTATTAGAATTACTATTATTATTACATACACGCTTACAAAGCCCTAGTGCTCGAGCTTCATGGAAAAAAGCTTCTTCCTCTACCGCACGGGAAAAAGGAAGCATTTGATACGTGTTTTCAGTATAGCAATAACCATAAAAATTGGACTAATTGAAAAGTGTATACGTGCAACCACAAGAGTGTCAGCCACAGCGAATCGTCGCGCCATCATTCGCAGTTGGCGTGAAATATGATATAATTCATCGAGCGAACCATGTTTCATGTAAGTGAACGAGCACGAGATTAACTTAAAGTAGCTCATTAGCGAAGATTTATGCGTTTATACAATCAGGTTGAAATCGATCGATCTTCTGTATGGCTAAGAACAAATTCTCGTACGTGTGCAAATACATAAAGGTACTTGAATAAATTGGCAATTATTTAAAGAAAAATACTTTTCTGTGCATTTAAGAAGTTTTTCGAAGGATCGTTCAGATATGCCAGTCAAAAATAAAAAATTAACAACATGCCATTGCCATCGGGTTAAAAAACGCGTCAGAAAATTTCTATTATTGTCTCTACTCATAAAATTTAGCGTTATGCGTGGAATCAAACAAGCATCCTAAAAGTTCCATATAATAAGTAATGAGAAAATTTCAAAACCACCAATACTGATTTTTAATTGTTAATGTTTGTTATTTTGAAGGAACTGTTATCGGTGTCATGATAAAATAACAAGGGTAAAATTGACAGTTTTTCCTGATTAACAAAGCTTTAGAAATTAAAAACCAATAAGGTAATGGTAAAACTTTCTCATTGCTTATCATATATAACTTTTTCCCACTCTAACCTAAAATACGCAACTTTGCCGCTAATTTTAGGCTCTCGTAGGAAAAAATAGTATCTCAAACTGGTGCAGATATGGTTTTTTAACAAAACTCGTTACAGCACTCGCCTTCGGCTCGTGCTATAATCCCTCGTTTTGCTAAAAAACCATATGTGTACCCGTTGAGAAATATACTATTTTAACACAGCGTGCGGGAAACACGGGTTTTCTAACCTTAAAGTGTCAGAAAACCTTAGTTTCTTGCAAGCAGGGTTAAAAAATATCGTTTGCAACAAGTCCACGAGGAAGTTGACTCACCCAGGAGTCTTTGCCCCCTCGCTACGCTCGGGTGAAAACAACTCCTGGATGAGTCAACTGCTTAGCGCACTTATTACAAAATATACTATTTGAAATATTTATGCTTATAAAGCAGGGTTACAAGATGTGAATTTTATTTTTTGATTGACAATACATTGGCGCGTGCATCTCAAATGTATACCGATTGAAATCACCGTTTTGGTATCGAACGTTTGAGCACTTGCACAGTTCTCTAAATGTATATGAATGCCATTTGCAAGAGATATATAGAGCATTCATGCCTTTCCCTTCGGGAATCCCTGTAGCTGTCTCTCAGTATTCAAGTCCCGCAAACCCCCCCCCCCCCCCCCNCCCCCCCCCCCCCAATTGCTATATAAACCTCTGTCCACACAGTGAGTACACACAGACGCACATACGAATTTCTCTGGAAAAGGAAAGCCAGAGAGGGTGATTAAGGGGTTACATAGCTTTTGGTGACGGAAATTTTTTTTTGAAAAATTATATTTCAAAAACGAAAAGTTCAACCAATTTGAAATTTTTACACAATGAAGTTTATTCATTAGAAAAGCTGTAAACAAACTTTTCAGATAAAACTATTGAAAATTGTTAATTTTCCATCAGTTTTCCTCGGTCATTCTATTATCCTGGGGTAGGCAGGATTTTTCTTGACAAAATCATCTGAAACCAAAAATTCGACATATTTCTTAAAGGTTATACCCTTGGCTAGTGATTGATCGAAGGAAAAGAAAAAAAAATGAAATTGGATGAATTGACACAAGTTTGAATGCATTTTTGTCCTGATTTCTAAGCATTTTTCAAATTTTGACGATTTTTCACTACTAAATTTTATTTAAAATAACAACGAGTCGACCGATCAAAAATCCCTTTGATCTATGTGCAACATTTGAGCTCAATCGGTCGACTCATTCTCGAAAAATCATGCCAACCGCACGAAAAAACAAAGTTTCGAGAAAAGCGCCCTTAAAGTTTCTGTACCGTTTTTTGAACGATTTGAATGATTTGAATTGTATATTATAATGACTTGCATCAAATCTTCGATTCCGGGTCCATATAATTATTCCTTAGCTTCACCTGCAATTTCTAGAGCATCTTTTTGATGTGGTCGATGAATAATTCTAGCCTCTCGAGTAGTATCCAAAGCTCTTTGCTCAGCGATCAGCACGCGTCCTCGCTACTCGTGACTGTGCCGACAAAGTTTGATCCTCATACTGTAAATAATTGTAAGTAAGGCTCCTGTCCCTTAATTAAACACACAAGCAGCAGTGTATGCAGCAATTTCAAATATTTTTGAGTCAGCAGGTAATATTTTTGCTGTAATTTTCCAAATAAGCTAATTATAGCTTTCGTTGTTGTTCTGTGTGAAACCATTTACATAGCACTCAAAAAGTTGATCAGAGCTCGGCTCTTCATAAATTAGTTTGATTCATCATCTGGAATTGGTTTATAATCATGCTCTAATGTCTTCAGGGATTGTTCAGCAGAAGCACGTTGACATGGACACTAAGACTCAGAACCCTGAGGACACTTTTCATGATGCGGTTGCTCATTGTCAAATTTTTTTATCGAATACTCTATAACTTCGGGAATATTGCTCGGATCTACTTGAAATTTTTTAACAATATTCTTAAAGACATTTACTTTCAAATAGAACAATAACAAAAATTTTAATTTTTCGAAAATTACAAAGCTATGTAACCCCTTACGTAACTAGGCCTCCTACTGGCTGCTGCATGTGTGTGTGTGCGTGTATGTGTACGTGTGTACGCGGGTGGGATACAGTTTGATTCATGCCCCCGCATACATAAATAACCAAACGGTTACACACCTTATAGATATACACGTATTATATGCAGGCACGTTGCATTTAAATGCCGTTGCTTCGGCGCTCTTCATTTTATTATAACGCCGCTAGCGAGCAATGCAGTGCATCGGGGACTTAATAAATGTCGTTCGTTAACGAAGTTCTTGAGTCGAGTTGCAATTTAATAAACTTGTGTTCTGCCGTCGTCGGCGCCGCCACCACCGCTGTACGCGCGCCGTCATTGGGAATCGTCGCGCTTCGCAGTGAAAAGCTTAACGAACGCCGAGTAACTCATGTATGTGAGTGCAGTGCTCAAACACGTTTTGTTTTCTCTCTCTCTCTCTCTCTCTCTCTCTCTCTCTCTCTCTCTCTCTCTCTAAGCATATCATCTATGCCGACGACACGGCCATTTTTCAGCACCACTTTCCATCCAAGATTCACGAGCTCATAGCCGATTTGAACTCAGACGCCAACGCCGTCGCAGCTTGGGCTGCCGAGAACAAGCTCCACCTGAACCCGACTAAAACCACGGTCATGATTCTCGGTAGTCTCGCTTATGTCTCTTCCATTGACAAAGCTGCTTTGCCCAAGATCACGCTGAATGGTACAGGCATTGCGTACTCATCAAGCATCAAATGCCTCGGCGTCACTATCAGCCCCACGCTGCTGTGGACGAGCCATATTAACTCGCTCAGGTCAAAATGCCACTTTGCTCTGTACTCATTGCGCTTTTACAGGCACGCGCTGAATCGTCAGCTAAGAGCGAGGCTCGCAGTGGCCCTGGTCTTGCCTCATCTTGACTACGCGGCCGCTGTCTACAATGACATATCGGCCACGTCCGATCTCAAATTGCAGCGTCTTCAAAATGCGTGTGTTCGCTTTGTTTTTGCCTCCATACCAGCTCGTGAACACGTGACACCTTATCGCTTGGCCCTTGGTTGGCTATCGGTCAAAAGACGTCGCCAATACCTGCTCGTCCTGCTCGCACTCAACATACTGCGGAGCGGTGAACCTAGCCCACTTCGCAATCTCTTCAAGCTCTCCTCTGATCGTCAGGTTCGCCATTCATCGCGTAGGCAGGCACCGCTGCTATCTTACAAGACCCCTCGCACATCATCGCTTCATAACTCATTTTTCATCAC